AGGAAAAAAAAATTCAAAATTTCCTTTTTTTTTTCTCTCAAAAAGACACTGAATAGTCTCATCTTCTTCAATCGTAAGATCAAACCGGCCTGAAAAAATGGCGGATAATATTGTTCTGAGGAAGCTTATCGTAGAGATCTGTAACGCAAGAAATTTGATGCCAAAAGATGGTCAAGGAACGGCAAGTGCTTACGCAATCGTCGATTTCGACGGCCAACGACGACGGACGAAGACGAAATTCCGAGATCTGAATCCACAGTGGGATGAGAAGCTCGAGTTCTTCGTCCACGACGTTGCGGCTATGGCGGAGGAGATTCTTGAGATCAATCTTTGTAACGATAAGAAGACGGGAAAACGGAGTACTTTTCTCGGGAAAGTTAAGATCGCCGGAAGTGCTTTCGCGGCGGCTGGATCTGAAACTCTTGTTTATTACCCGCTTGAGAAAAGGAGCGTTTTTTCTCAGATTAAAGGTGAGATCGGATTAAAGGCGTATTACGTCGACGAGAATCCACCGGCGGTGGCGACACCGGCGACGGAGCAGAAGCCTGAGGGGGAGATTCAGGCTGCTCCGGCGGCGACGGAGGAGAAGGCTCCGGAGAATCCGAAAACAGAGGAGGGGAAGAAAGAAACAGAGGCGGTGAAAACAGAGGAGAAGAAAGAAGCTAAACCGGAAGAGAAACCGAAGGAACAAGCTAAACCGGAGGAGAAAAAACCCGACGCGGCAGCTCCTCCACCTCCGGTGACTGCAGCCGCCGCCGTAACTCCTCCTGCGGTGACGGAGATTCAAAATCAGGCTCTACCGCAGAAAACAGAGACGGTGAAGCATAAAGAATTAGGAATTAAACCGGAGAACGTAAACCGGCAAGATCTAATCGGAACTAATCTTGAGCTTCCTTCTTTAACCACAGATCAGAACCGTGGTGGTGGTTACGATCTCGTGGATCGAATGCCGTTTCTATACATTCGTGTAGCTAAAGCGAAGCGAGCAAACAACGACGGAAGCAATCCGGTTTACGCAAAGCTTGTGATCGGAACAAGCAGTGTGAAAACCAGAAGCCAAACCGGTAAAGATTGGGATCAAGTGTTTGCTTTTGAGAAAGAGAGCTTAAACTCGAGCTCACTTGAAGTTTCAGTTTGGTCGGAAGAGAAAGTTGAGAACGAAGACAAAACGACGACCACGACGGAGAGTTGTTTGGGAACGGTGTCGTTTGACCTTCAAGAAGTTCCTAAGCGAGTGCCTCCGGATAGTCCTTTAGCTCCTCAATGGTACACATTGGAATCGGAGAAATCACCGGGGAATGACGTCATGCTCGCCGTTTGGCTCGGGACTCAAGCCGACGAAGCATTTCAAGAGGCTTGGCAATCTGATTCCGGTGGATTAATCCCGGAGACGAGATCAAAGGTTTACTTATCTCCGAAGCTATGGTATTTGCGTTTAACGGTCATACAAACCCAAGATTTGCAGCTAGCTTCGGGTTCCGAACCTAAACCAAAGATCCCCACCACTGAGCTCTATGTGAAAGCTCAACTTGGTCCTCAAGTTTTCAAAACGGCTAGGACTTCGATCGGACCGTCCGCTTCTTCGTCTGGTTCCGGTAACCCGACTTGGAACGAGGATCTAGTTTTCGTAGCATCGGAGCCGTTTGAGCCGTTCTTGATAGTGTCCGTGGAAGATATTACAAACGGTCAATCAATTGGTCAGACCAAGATACACATGGGAAGCGTTGAGAGGAGAAATGATGACCGGACCGAACCGAAATCGAGGTGGTTTAATCTAGCCGGCGATGAGAATAAACCGTATTCCGGGAGGATCCACGTGAAAGTTTGTCTTGAAGGTGGGTATCACGTGCTGGATGAGGCCGCTCACGTGACGAGCGATGTGCGACCTTCAGCTAAACAATTAGCCAAGCCACCTATTGGTCTATTGGAGGTGGGTATCCGTGGAGCTACTAATTTACTTCCCGTGAAAACCAGAGACGGTACACGAGGCACCACCGATGCTTATGTGGTTGCTAAGTACGGACCGAAATGGATTCGGACCCGTACGATCCTAGACCGGTTTAATCCACGGTGGAACGAGCAGTACACATGGGATGTTTATGATCCTTGCACGGTCCTTACGATTGGAGTTTTTGACAACGGGCGATACAAACGGGACGAATCGGGGAAGCAAGGCAGAGACGTACGGGTTGGGAAAATCCGCGTACGTCTCTCGACTCTCGACATGAACCGTGTCTACCTAAATTCCTACACTTTAACCGTAATCCTACCAAGCGGAGCCAAGAAAATGGGAGAAATCGAAATCGCGGTCCGATTCTCTTGTCCCTCTTGGCTAAGCATTATTCAAGCTTATGTCACACCAATGCTCCCTAGGATGCACTACGTCCGCCCGCTCGGACCAGCTCAACAAGACATTTTGCGCCATACGGCTATGCGTATCGTGACAGCGCGGCTCGCGCGGTCCGAACCGCCTTTGGGTCAAGAGGTGGTTCAGTACATGCTAGACACGGACAATCATGTGTGGAGCATGAGGAGAAGCAAAGCTAATTGGTTCCGTGTCATCACGTTCTTGTCACGTGCCGCAACTATAGCCCGTTGGGTTCACGGGATTCGAACTTGGGTCCACCCACCAACCACCGTCCTGGTTCACTTACTTCTCGTGGCCATCGTCTTGTGTCCACATTTAGTCCTCCCAACCGTTTTCATGTACGCTTTCTTGATCCTAGCTCTAAGATTCCGTTGCCGTGGCAGAGTCAAAGTCAACAGCGTTGACCCACGCAACTCTTGCGTTGACTCTGTCTCATCGGACGAGCTAGACGAGGAGTTTGATGGTTTTCCGGCGACGAGACCACCGGAGATTGTTCGTATAAGGTATGACCGGTTAAGGGCATTGGCCGGTCGAGCTCAGACTTTGCTTGGTGACGTGGCGGCTCAAGGGGAGCGGATTGAAGCTTTGTTCAATTGGAGGGACCCACGCGCCACGTGTATATTCGTGGTGTTTTGTCTTTTCGCGTCGTTTTTGTTTTACATTGTTCCGTTTCAAATCTTCGTTTTGGGGTTTGGTTTTTACTACATTCGACATCCGAGGTTTAGAGACGACATGCCTTCCGTTCCGATCAACTTTTTCCGGCGACTTCCTTCAATGTCCGATCAGATCCTGTGATTCGGTTATAGCGTAATAACAATCTTGCTTTTTGGCGTGGGTCATGTAATCCTTTGAA